TCTATATCTATATCTATATCTATATCTATATCTATATCTATATCTATCTATCATCTATCTATCTATCTATCTATCTATCTATCTATCTATCTATCTATCTATCTATCTATCTGTCTATAAATACTTTTTTTCTACTTCAGAAATTGTTTGTAGGAAAACATATTGATTTATGGTTTTGGAAATTATATTCTGTGCTTTTAAGACAAAATTGGATTGAAAACCTTTTAGATCTCTCCATTATAGAATTAAAAACAGAGGAGATATAGATCACTAAAAAAATCAATTTACAATTGTTTTCTATTTTAATATTATTCTTTTGCTAGTCTCTTACTCATACATAGAAATCAAATTTAATTTTTCTATTTAATTGATGTTTTCATGTTAAACAAGCAAAAACAAGTATGGTACAAAGAAAACCAGAATGAAAAAAGGAAGTAAGGTGGGAGGTAACAGGTTGCCTTTATTTTTATATTCAGTAAAAATAAAAAAGTATTTTGCTTATGGCAGCACAATTGGATTTCTCTTAGTCATAGCATTAATAGAATCATGTTAGGCTCACCCACTGCACTAAACCATGGTTTGTTTGATTCTACTTTTGAATAAATAGCTGTAGACAGACATTTTCTCTAGACTACAAACCACAGGAACAGAATTAATATATCACTAAGCCAAGATCAAGTAAGACACACTGCCGCATAATATGCTGCATGAATTCAATCCTAAAACAATATTTTAAGAGATCATTTTAGGCAAACTCTGTTCTGAATTTTGGAATTTCTAACCAAAGATCTATAGATCTATAGGTCTCTAACATCTGTCAATCCAGTTTCTGCAGGTTCATAAGCCATTCCATGCTTTGAACATTTTTTATCATGAGGAAATTTTGCCTAATGACTAGCAGAAACTGGTTGCCTGCCAATGACATTGGTCCAATCTGTGCTTTGTGTGTTAAATCCATATTTATATCAACAGGAGCAGAAAAATATTTAACTTTGATTGAATAATGCCTAGTAGATTTTGTTGACAAAAATCAATATGTTTTGTCTACTTAAATTTTTTTACCACCATAGTGCAAAAGAAAGAAAGATTTTCCCCTACCAATTATTTAATGAAATATAATTCATTTCCAAAATGTCTTTTTAAAAGGCAAGAGAAATTGTCACAATGGAGTGTGGTGTACTTGAACTTGTTGTGGGAACTTGTTGTGGGAACGCCATCACTTGGGACTTTCAAGAAGAGATTGGACTGCCATTTGTCAGAAATGGTGTAGGGTCTCCTGCTTGGGTGGGGGGTTGGACAAGATGACCTACAAGGTCCCTTCTAACTCTGATTATCTGTTTTCTGTTATTAACTAATAAAGTAGCCAAGGAACTTTCAAGGAACTTTCAAGGAACTTGGACTTCACTACTGTTCTATATCTAGTGTCTGTTGCCTTCCCATATTTCAGTTAATCTGAAGTTCCAGATTCAGTTTAGGAAATGTGGGCAACAAGGGAAGCTCCCATTCTCATTCATGTTGGAGGCACCTTTTAAAGGGCTTCCAGGTTGAACGGATTAGCTGGAATGAATGACGTGAGCTTACCCCATCCCGCAGCAGTTGGGTCTTGAACATGCACTTGCTAACCTCTAACTCAGCTTCCTAACCACATAAGTCACCATGTTCCCCAAGGGAACTTTGAAGTGACAGAAATACATGTAACAAAGCCATAAGAGGATGCCACCACAAGCAACTAAGCTTAGAAACAACAACAAGAGAAATTTGAAATAAATTCTTAAGCATCGCAATAATAAGTTTGAAAAATGGAAACTTATTTCACAAGTTTAGGAAACTTCCAGGCACATTTCTATATGGCATTAGCTTTCAACATTTCTATCTGGCATTAGCTTTTAAGACAGACACTTGAAGTCATTTGAAGACATTTGAAGGCATCTATTAGCAAGGGAAAACAGCTGGGTGCATTGGAGGATGAACTGAGAGAGGTAGCTGTTTCTTCAAGTACTGTCATTGTTTCTATAGCTAACTGGTAAACAAATTATAGCACCCTGCAATTAACTGTATCATAATTCTAATTGAGGAAACAATAATTTCTTAAAACTTTATGATGGAACAAATGGTAAAGCAAGAATATAACCTTTGTTAGAATCAATGTCTCCACATAATTCATGTCAATAAAAAAAAAATGCTATTATCCACGATAGCAAATGCAAGCAGGAAGCTAAAAAGAACTGAGAAGAGCATTTTATCCGGTTTCCTTCCTAATGACAGGTAACCACTTAGCCAGGTCTGTATTTGAAGCAATTTTATTTAAGTCAAACTAAATTGGTCAATTTGAAAATAGCTGAAGAAATGGAAAAAGCAAACAAAAGAAACAGAGGGGGGGAAAAGTCCACCTAAATGCTGACTTTCAAAGAAGAGCAAGGAGTTACCTCTAACTAAGCAATGCAAAG